AGCTAATGTTAGTTCAATTATAAATTAAATGGTTTTATTTCCCGCGCAGTGCAGCGCCTGACGAATATTAAAAGAAAGCTAAGCCCGAAAATTGAAAATACAAGAGTGCGTGCATTTAACATTTAGTAAATATCTCTTTTTGATTTCGAGAAAGTACTAGAAAATTCTCGCGCGCGATTTTAAAATCTTATAAAAGAAGGAAAACCTCTCAGTTCGTAGTAGTTACTTAGTTTGTTGTTGTTTAGAAAACTGCTCTTGTTGATTGTAGCGAATTCGCGGATTAGCTTTCTTCAGCTGTTTTAAGTTCTATTGAACGTTTGAATAGTTAAAAGATAACTACTGTGAGATATTGTAATACTGCACGATAATTTGAGGAAATTTAAGCATATTTGTTGTGAAAATAATAAATTTTTGTTCATTTTTCATCGGACTTGTGCATTCATTTCGTAACGAACCCGTACGCACGCAACAATATTTAGTTATATTAGTTATACAAAACGGGCATTATCTTTCACCATTATTTCTCTATTGACAAATTACAATTTTATGAGATTTTTAAGGTATAAATTTAAAATAACTCTTAACCTCCACAGCTTTAATATATTTAAATAATTGTATTAAGGTAAAAATATCGTATAAATTGTTTTATTTGATGATTAATGTGAATCACTTGTTTTAAATATTTCTGCATTTCCTAAACGCATTTTTCTGTTCTCTTAACAATTGGAGATTAAATTCAATACAGTTTTACACAATTTAAAATGCAAAAGCATTACAAATTTGCATGAATTAATAATTCCAGTCCATAAAGCAATTATTGTTACCAAAGCTGAATTACGGAAAATCTGTATTACTCAATTTCAATTCTGAGAATATACACTATACTATAACTTTCCCAGAAATACTTAAATACTATTAGTAGCCCACATAGTAAACTTTAAAAAACTCAGCTGTTTATGTGCAACTTCACAAGTTCCTTTATTTAATTACCACATATGGGGAATAAACACTTATTGCATATTGACTTGAATGATAGCAGTAATAATTAATGTATAATAAATGAAGAGAAATTTTAAAATTATTATTAAGAATGGAGCGATTATCGCCAATACAAATACTACTAGAGATGCATGAACTTCACAGAAGCGCGAAAAAAATCAATGATGATTCTTTGGTAGGTATGAATTTCTGCAAATATAGAATGAAATCAGAACCGTGTTTTAACTTGGGCATTTGAAAGTATTTTAATATGATCTTACAGAACAAAAATAAGGATTCAGAAAATATGTTTTCATGTAAAATGAGGTAACATGAGATATACGCATTCTTCATATTTTTCTAATTCAATATAAACATGATTCAGTTTTTTTTTATTTAATTCAAATAATGAAGATATTATATTTAAAATGCATACTTTCAAAAATTTATTAATTTAATCTAAATAAATAACACACAGAGAGTACAACACAGAGCCGTACCATTTTTGGGTGAATCAGGCACTTGCCAGTAATGGGGCACATGGTACTGCAAAAATAAGGAACTGGAAGGAAATAAAAATGTTTAGGAGAAGCAGTTATAAGATTAGTTTCAGGTATTAAAATATGATGATAAGGCTATGATACTGTACTTTCTTTAAATTACTTCATTTTTCTTTAAACGGAACTTTAAGGTTTTTCATTTGATTTCTTTATTGAAATCAGAAGTGATTTCAAACTGTTAAGATGCCAAAAAGGCATCAATATTTATTTTAGTAATGGTTTTATTGTTTTTTTACTAGACAGTTTCCTTAGTATATACTTTTAATTGAAGAGAAGTAGATTATTTGATTTCTTTTTACTATAAAAAAATAGTTTTTTTAGTTTACTTTTAGCACAATAAGTATGAAAACGTCTTTCATTTTAGAATCTACGCAATTAAAACTGAATTTTAGTTATTTACTTAAGTTCAAATTAGCTATATTTATGAAAATAAAAGTAATTCCATTACTTAATTTTGTAACAATAAATTTACAACCTTTGTTAAAATTTAAAAAAAAAGTATAAAACTCCGCCTCTTACATTAACTTGTTTTGTTTGTATAATGCAGTGCAATTATACGGAGTTTTCAGAGTCTTCGACTGACTCTCCAGGAATTGGTTTTATGAAATTTTTAAATTCCTTAGTGAAAGATTCCTTTCTTAATTTTTCGAAGCTTTTCGAATACGATTGCAGAAATTAGTATCTTTTCATTGTCTATTTCTGAAAGTGATACGTTAAAGCAAAACTAGATGCGATTACGTTAGATAATTAAATTAAACGTAATTAGAGGGTTATATATCATTTTTAAGTTTCTAATAACAAAATAAAATAGCTTGTTTGCAGAAGTGAAATATATTAATTTAAAATAAAATTATTATTGCAAATAAACTTTTTCGGTGAAGCTTAAATATACATTTCGATTTATAGTAATTTTCATTACATTTATAAAATTGTCTGCAATAGGTTAAATTTTCTTAAAATACAATTTGAAATTCGGTTTCTTTATAAAATGTACTTTTAGAGACAAATTAATATTAGTTTATACTCTTTTGTCACAGGTGAAATTTTACCTTCATATATAAGCAACGATGAAATGTAGTTTCCTTATTTTTATATTGTTATCGTTTATTTATTTAAAAAATTAATACCATAAATATATGCCCTTAATATCTCAAGTAAAAAATACTTTTGCACACTTTTTATATTTTTCTTAATATGAAAAGTGAATACGAGCTAGTTTTCCTGAGAAAATCCTCCACAAAGGCATCCCTTCCCTTAGGCAGGCAACCCTCGTGTGTTTTACCGTATTCAAATAATTTAACCTAAACTAGTAAATATTTTTCTTTAACTAAATCTCTTAATAAGGAAACTGGGTTACTTCAACAACACAACATAAATATATTGTACGTCAAAGTGTGACATAATTTGCGAAAAAAAATATCTTATATAATAAATTTTAAAAATAATCTCAGAAATTTACATGTAAGAAACATGTAGAAAAGTTCAGTGTTTTAAAGTAATACGCCATTTGTTAAGTTATAATAATTAAAAAACGTATTCTATATAACTAGAGCGTGGTTATGGAAGTATGGCATCATTTGTAATATGGCGCTATAATTATTAATGAAGCTATTAATAAATAACTAATATAATAAGTAAGCATTTTGTGAATAATTTCGAAAATTAGCAGAATACGATGATGATATTCCTTCCAGAATTACGAAAGGCATAAAAACCTTAACCGGAAGATAAAAACAACATAATACAATCATTTTTAAAGCAAAAAATGTTCAATTTACAAACATATAAGAGTAAAGAAACTAAGATCACTGAGCCGGGTAACAGAGTGGATATATATATATAAATATACTTATATACGTTTGGTGCGCCCGATTGCAACCAAAATACGAGGTGCACATCTACATGTTATAGCAGTCCTATATACAAAATTTCAACGGCTACTCGTTTTTGAGTTAAGCGATATACGTACGTAATTTGTGCATTTGATCACGATAAACTGTTCTTTTGTTAAAAATTGATTGCATAAACTTGCAAATTTCTAGGCGGTATAGCGATAAAAGTAAGTAAAATATTTACATAATTGAACATGTGGAAACACGTATCCAAAGTTTTATATACTTATATTTCTATAATTCAACTTAATTCAAGGCAAAATCTTTGAGCTTCATAAATGTGAAACACGCATAAAGTATGTCAATGAATGCTTTTAATAAAAAGGAAAGAAAAATGAAATACTATTTGCATCACGTACCAATCTCCTGAAATTAGCTAATTCAACAACTGCTATAACCAATAAAAAATATGTGCATTTCTGTTTTAGTGTATTACAACTTAATGCTGAAGTAATGAACATACTAAAATAAAATAACTTTCTTTCCTATCTCCTAAACATTTGTATAGGAAATGATTCTTTAATAAATTATGATAATACTGTGAATAAATCAGAAATATCACTTCTTGAAGGAAAAATTGGAAAATACTCCCAACAAGTTGCTAATAAAACCTAAACAAATCCTTGAAATACGCAGAAACATCAGTTTTAAAGGCTTTAATGTTATACACATGCATTTAGATTTCGAACTATTTTTAATAATTTTTTGTACATAGTAAATTATGGATATCATCTTTATTACTTTAAAACAAAAATTCAACAATAGCGAGGCATTTCATTATAAATTTAACATATCTTTACTGGAAAATACATGCACGGAACAGCTTAGAAACACGTACGGTTCACTGCCGTAATGCAATGTTTTAAGTTTACAAACACGGACGCCGCTTGTTAGGTAAGATTTCATTCCACAACAGGGAAGAAACTGCGAACCCTTCCTCCTTCTATTCTAACCTCCTTGGTCCAATATACAGTTGAATGACTGTTGCCAAAATGAATGACTGTTAAAAACTGTTTCCAAAATCACATTTCTAAGAGAATGAAACTATTCAAATTGATGCGATAAAATCGAAAAAATAAAATTAAAAAAGTTCTGATTCGAATTTTGAAAAAAATGGCTTCGAGGTGCACTGGCTCTTGTCTAGATGCACCTACCAAATTTCGTAGCTCTGTGTCTATTAGCTTACACGCTGACTCTTTCTTTTATTATACTCGTATGTAGAGATTAATTATTACTGATATCATAAATATCAATATACAATAAACAGTGTTTACCTGAAAATGTAAACCACTGACGATGTGTTCGGCAAACAGAACTAAAAATGGTCGCGAAAATCCTGACAAACAAACGCTATGCGGACAACACTCTTTCGTCAGTCTCTCTTGACAGCACTAGATACGGTTAGAATATGAATTCATTCACCTCACAATACACTGCAATGATTTCGAAGTACCACATCAATAAAAACACGCTATAAACTGTTAATATTTTTAATGAAAAAGAAATAACTAAAACTGCAAACTGTTAGCATAAAAGAATAATTTAGAAAGGTTTACTGAAACACACAGCAATGAATCGGGGGGTGCAAGGTCAGCGCGCAAGAATACCTCCTATTAAAGAAGAATTACGTGAGCAAGGTCAAGAAAGGTCAGGTTGCGGAAGACTGAGAATTTCTTGTGGTCACATTAAACGTTTGCCGTGGCGTGTATGTGATGTGCGACAGTCACATCCACATCACAATGTGACATTTCTGCGACGATGTTCCGTGGTCCCAATTGTAATGTAAAGAAAATGCAACACTGAGATGTCACTGCAATGTCATAGAAATTAGAAATTAAGTATGCTATAGGGGCATTAATGGAGTTACGTTATGTCCTCTTTACTGATGAGAGCCGTTTCAGTCTGACAACCGATTCTCGGCGCCAGTTCATATGGAGAGAGGCAAGGACGGGCTTTCATCCCACCAGCATCAGGGAAAGAGACCGTTAGTTGCAATGGTCCTGACATATTTGTATCGGGAGGCATAATGATATTGATGACGAATATAAAGAGCTCCACATTTACAACAGAGGTTCGCTTACCGAAGATCATTACTACGATGAATTTATCCTACACCATGTGCGTCATTTTCGGGATATCATTGGTCCCGTCTTTGTTTCTAAGGATGATAATGCACGGCCAGACAGCACTCATGCTGTTGAGGAGCTCTTCGAAAGTAAAGATATCCAGAAAATGGATAGGCCAGCGTGTTCCCCTGATTTTAAGTCCCATTGAATATGGGGCCCACCAGCGGCCGAGCGGTAAAGTCGCTGAACACTGGTATTTCGGTCCGAATCCCGTGAACGGGCTGGCTGCATGGATGTTTTCGTGGTTTTCCCCATGTGTAACGTGTATACGAGCCAGTTTCCCTTAGAAAGTCCTCCACGAAGGCATCCCTCCCCTTAGGCAGATAGCCCTAGTGTGCTTTGCCATAATTAAATACACCACACCCATTGGGTATGTGTGGAATGTTTTACAGATATCCCTGGTGGCACGATTTTACCCTCCAAGAGAACGCTAAACTGAAACTGATGCTCCTTGAAGAATGGGAACACTCATGCCACAAGAACTGTTAAATAATCTGGTGCTGCGTATCGACAAAAGGTGCAACGCAACCGTTGCAGTTAGAGGATGTCATATCCCTTACTCACCGGTTTGTTGTTCTTCCTCTTGGCTAACCAGTTTTTTATACCAACGCTATTCTGTCAATAAAGTCTTACTAGTTCGTCGTAGTTGTTGTTGTTGGGGGCCCCGACCCCTAGCCGATTCATATCAGCCATAAGACCAAAGGAAGGCAGGCCTATACCAGGCTGAATCATCAGGCATTCGCTATCCCAAGTGGGAGATTAAATGGCGGCTGTGTAGTTACGGTGCAACAATTTTTTGTGTTTTTTTTTTTGTGTAAAATGGGCGGATGTGCAGCTATTAATTGTTCAAATCATTCACGGAAAGGTCATACATTGGTAAAATTTCCTAAAAATGAAGAAAGAAGAAAAATATGGGTAAATAATTGCCGAAGAGACAATTGGAAACCTGGTCCAAGCGCTGAAATTTGCTTAGTAAGTATAATGTTAATTACGCCTTGATTTAGAGTTTATATCTTCTCTGATGTTTATAATGTGTAAGTAAAGTGAAATTCTTGTGTACAATAACCTAAGTATCTGCTAATTTCTGTAATAATACCTATAATTAAATTAGTCTAGGGTTAATGTACCCGTCGCCAAACATCGCCAATGTGGATGATTTGAATGAGGAAAAGAAATTTCTCTTCTAATATAAAGCGCAGATTTTGTTTTCCTGTGGTAATTGTGGAAATTATACTAATGTAACATGAAAATCATTAGCATATTGAAATTTATTAAAAAACAAATCATAATTTGGAAAGTCAAGATAAAATCTGAATGTTTGCTAAAGATATATGTAACATTATACTATAGTTGCAATATCGTTGGAATGATATATAATTTTTTTCTTTATTTTATAATCACTATTGTTAAAAAGTTAGATGAGTTTTTTATGCACGGTGCCCACTAATGTTTCTTGGTTAAAATAACTTCCAGAATTTTGACATTGACATCTGAAGTCAATAGAATAAATTGAATAGTATGAGACAAAATATATATAATCTGACTTCAATAATTGCAAGTACCATATATTTATAATCACAGTATTATACAATTTGGCAATGGAGTAAAGATTTAGAAATGAATGCAGAACATTCAAATAAGCACAGAAAACTTGTGAAACTGCATGTGTATTTTTCAAAAAAATAATTGTAGTGTTTTTAATGCATGTGTAGTGTTTAATGCATGCATAACAATCAAATAAATCTGCCTGTAATGATGAATTTCAAAGGCCAAGCCAAAATCCTTTCATGAATTTGATACTTCTAAAGAATGTGATCTCGTCAAATTAAATCCTCATGACATTGATAAACAGTTATTACTGATATGTGTTACAAAAGCAGATTTTTATACATGATAAATAATATTTTCTGAAGCGTTATTTTGTGTTGTCATCTCTAAATAAGAAATTGCCTACAAATTCAGAAAGCTACTGAACTACGTTCTAGAGTTTTTAATAACTTTAATTGGATATGTCTGTGGGGATGTAATTTAAAAAATTGTCGTTTTAAACTGGCCTTGATGCTTTTTAAAATGCATGTTGGCACTGTGCTTCGAAATTAGGCCTATGTTTTGAATGATTAGAGAATTAAAAATTAAATATTTCAATTAAAGCAATAAACATTACTACAATTATAACAAGAATCATAGTCTGCTCTAATTATAAATGTATTTATCGGCCTAGTATCTTAAAAGTTGGGTGAAGTGAACTCATATTTTCTTATCTATTGTAAGAGCACTATAGCAAGAAATATAAAGTTTTATTTTAGTTGTTTTTAATTTTATAGCAAAACACTACTTCATTTAATTTTTGGATAATGTTCTAAAGAACACTTTAAATTATAGGCAAAAAATAAATATTGGATAATTAAATTCTGCCCAAGCTTACAAGATGCTGCTGCTGATATGTTAGACATGGTTTGTTTATTGTTTCAGTTTTTTTATAATACTGGGCCTAATTTAATTACCTGCATATTTATTTATTGCCTATACTTACTTACAGTTCATGCTTGCTGCCTTTGGCACAACCTCACTGTGTGAAACACTTTTCTCACATTTCTTTCGTGTGGTTTTGTTTTTTGTACTTTTATTTATTTTGTATACTTTTTTTTATTACTTTATGTATTTACAGGATCATTTTGAGGAATCTCAATTTGAGTCACTATGCAAAGATAGTTAAAAAACTAAGAAAAACTGCAGTACCAACACTCTTTAGCATTCCAAATCCACCACCATCTGTAACTGACAAGAGGATAAGAGAAGTAAGATGTCCTAAGCCAAATACTGAAGTGGTAAATTATTTAATATTCTCCAAAAAAATTGTTGAAAAAATCATTGTTATTACAAATATATTAATTCAGTCCAACCATTGTTTAAAAAAATAATCACAGCATAACATGTTTACTATTTCTTTTTGAATTTAGGAAACTCTACCTGCTTCAAATGAAGAGTTGTTAAAAAAAATAGAATTCCTTGAGCAACAGCTTCAAGAAAAAGATGCAAAATTGACATCATTTTTGTCCGATGAGCAAGTAGGAACCCTTGCTGTGCAGTCAAAAAGGAACTGGTCAGAAAAGTCCATTATAAAAGGACTGAAGATGCGATTTGCTTTGGAGCAAACATGGATATAATTACCTCAGAAGTACTGGATATCCAGCACCATCGTACAGTACCTTGAACAGGAGGATTAGGGACATAAAAATTAAATTTCGGCATTTTAGAAAATTTGTTTTTTTTTCCTCAAGACAAAAGTTCATTCATTGGATGCTCTTGATAGGAACTGCTGCCTTTTAGTTGACGAAATGGAAATAGCTTCATATCAAGATTTTGATACATCGTCTAAGTCATTCATTGGAAATGTTACGTTAGGAAGCTAAGCATTACACTATTGTAATGCTTAGAGGCCTTAAAACATCATGGAAACAGATTGTTGCCAATGAATTAACAGGGCCTTCAACATCAGGTTCTGACATGAAAGATCTAATTCATAGAACTGTAGTAGCAGCTACAGAAATAGGTTTAACTGTAAGAGCCTCTGTTTCAGATATGGGAAGCAATAACAGAGCAATGTGGTCGTCATTGGATGTGTCTGTCTCTAGGACAGATAGGAAGACAAATTACAACATTGGAGGACCTGATGTTTTCATTCACAGTATTGCAGATGTACCACATCTCATTAAAAATATGAGAAATACATTTCTTTCAAGTATTATAATATTACCAGAGGAATTTCGCCACCAGCATGCCTTGCCATCGAGGATAGTATCTTCAGTGTATGTGAAACGACTCTGGTCAAGTGAGATAGAAGCAGATGCTGCCCTGAGATCTCTACATCACTTGAACAGAGTTCATCTCTTCCCAACACACTTTTCCTCGATGAATGGGGCATCTGCTGTGCAATTGTTTTCTGTAAAAACAGCTGCTGCTATTGAAAAAGCAGTTATTTTACACCAAGTTGCAAAAGAAGCATTAACTTCTGCATGGTGGCTGAGACTTGTAGCAGAATGGTTTACAATTATGACTACAAGGCATCCAAAAAAAGGCATCACTATCAAAAATCAAGATGAGAAATTTAATATTTTATTGAAATTCATTCATGTGACTGAAACTGTTCAGTTTGGGAAAGCATGGAAGCCATTTCAAACTGGCATTATTATGAGCACATTGAGTGTTGTGAAACTCTCAAAAGAATTATTTTCCGAGGGGTTTACATTTTTCTTACCAGGCAGGTTGACACAAGATGCGCTGGAAAATGCCTTTTCACAGATTAGACGAAAGTTGGGTGCAAAGCCTACTGCTTTGCAAGCCAAGAGAGCACTGAAATTAGTGTGCCTATCACAGTTCATTTCAGATATCAATAATCCAAATTATTGTTCTGAAAGTGACCACAGCCTCTTTGATGCTTCTGAATTAGAGGTTGCTATCAGAAAGGAGGTCTTGCATCCTATCTCCAATTCTGTAGTGCCATCTACCTCTTCTGCAGTGGCAGTGAAACGTCGCTTGCCCCCAGCTGTGGAAGAAAATGATATACATTACATCGCAGGAGCCATATATAATAAGTTGTTGAAAAAAAAAAGCATATGTGAAAATTGTAAAACAGCTATGACCATTTCAGAGGACATGCTGGAACCTGACATACCCGAGCATCGCACAATTCTTACAAAACATAGCAATAAAGGTGGACTGAAGGTCATCTCTTCAGGAATGTATCGAATATGTAGGGAAGCTGAACGAGAATTTCAAAAATGTAAAGATGTACTCCTTCGTTTACAATCAGCCATCACAAAAGAATTAGTTGAAAGAATAATTGATAAATGTACGCATGTGGCCATGCCAGAATGCTGTAATCTTAAGAAAGTAATTATTGATAATTTTTTTATTACTAGATGCAAAGGCCTTACACAGCATCTTATCAACAAAAGAGCCCATAACGTTTCATATTCATCAGCATCGGCCAATAAGAAACAAAAAGTAAAATAATTTTAGAAGGTATGTATGTTTTATATTAAATAATTTATGTGTTTTATGTAATATGTATTACTTTTTCCTAGGCTACGAGTATATAAATTTCTGTGTTTGATGTTATATATGTTACTTTCTGCTAGGCTATGAGTATATTATTATGGTATTATTTTCTTGTTTCTAATATATAGAAATATAGCATATTTTCCAGTATAAAATTTCAGTTCAGTTTTACTTAAAAGTATGGGAAAGCAGATTTGTTTCATGCATGATCTTTATAATACTGGTATGAAATGAATGAATTTTAATCTGTAAACAATTTTTTGTTAATATTGAAATGTGTTTCCTTGGGTACATTTTTAGGCACTTGTGGATCATGTCAGACAACATGCAATAGAGAAAAAAGATGTCCGTGTGCATAAATTTTTCCCATTGTGTTACTTCATTTTATCTAAATTTCAAGGATAATTCTTTTCATTTTTATATGGCATGTTATTATCAGTATAAAGGCTAGTGAAAATAAATTGGTATGTGTATCTGTTTTTGAAGTGTAATGCTTAAATAAAAAGATGGTGTGTGTTTCTTCATTTAAATAAAAATTTCAAAGATAGTATTTTTCAGCGTTGTACTGTTTGTTATTTCTCAATGTAAAGGGTAACAAGGGGAAAAAAACTGGTATGGTACATCTGTTTTTTAAGCATGATAATTTTATTTATTTCTTTAGTGATGCATATATATATAGAGAGAGAAGGTATTTGGTCCAACTGAAGTTATAATAAATCTAATTTTACTAGATCTCTCCCTCCCCTCAGGTGTAGAAAATTTTCAAATGCAGAAAGTTTATTTGCAGAATTAATTCATTTCTGATAAACTTATTATCATTAATTTTTTATATACCATGTTATTAAGTTACACGTATGACTACTGTGTAATAAACTTGTATTTAGGGCAAAAAATTAACTGTTTTGCAGCTGGTGACTAATATCATATGCTTCTAAGAATATTACTTTAACTTTTTTCATAACTTTTGTATTTCAGGAACATGAAACTGTTATTTTGATATACTTAAATAATAAAAGTGTGTATCTGAATCAATTAATGGATACAAATATTTTACAGTTATTTTTAGAAGATATTTGCCATATCGCTTCTAATAATTCATAAAGTATATTAAAATATAGGTAAATAATTTGGTGCAGAATTCAAATTTAGGGTTTGAAATATAGTGAATCATGAGACTAAATGATTTTTATTGTCATGATTTGCCTGGGCTTAAGAATGTACTTTTCGCCCGGTGGAAATTGTCATCAAACTGTCCTGAACAGGCTTTTTGTTGATAATAACTTCCAGGCTTATCAGTACCTCCTTTTGAGTGGAGGGTATACAAATATAGTACCCAATTTAAATTACATTGTGATTGTAATAATATTGTGGTATTAAATAAGTGATTATAATTACAATTTAGATAATTGCTTTGTAATTATATTACATTGTATCTGTGAACTCTTAATTTCATTACTTTATGCAATTATGTTGTAAGTGCATAATCTAATTGCAATAATATAATCTATTCACAATTACAAAATAATTATAAATGCAGTTACATCTTAAATAGAGGCCATTTTAATACTTTTAAATTTTTGCAAGATAACTTCCCATTAAGGTTCATTTGGAGGAAACTATGCAAATACTAAAAAAGAAGTTATGTTAAATTTACATATTTTGTACAGTAGTTTCTTGTTATAATGCTGTTCAATATATCTTCAATACTTTTGTAAATTTAACGACATTCTTTGCAATTACTGTGGGGCTTTAAAAAGAAGTTTCTTAGTTATGCTTTCTAATAAGAATGTGTTAAAAATTAAGTATTATGTATAATAACTAACAATTAAAAAAACTTGACTGCATGAAAATGCTGTTGCTGTGTAAAATAAAAATAAGCTTTCTTTTATGCTTTGAAATGAATTACATGTGGTTAAGTCGTCCTTTTACAATTTAAGAATGTGGTTAACACACATTCTTAAATTGGACAGGTTTTATCTAAATTATTAGTATAAAATATATAAACTATGAATTATTTTGTAACATAACTCAAATTACAAAATTCATTCTATATACGTTCAAATTTATTATCTTTTATGGAATAACTGTTTTTTAATTTAGGTAAAAATTGGATTTTTAGAAGTATTACAAATACAATGCAACACAAAGGTGATCTGATTGGAGAGGAAGGACTTTTTATTACGGTTTCTAGTTCGTATTTATATTACATTTGGTGAAAGTCATCCAAAACACAGAATGCTGTACTTTCTTCTTCCATATATGTTATGAAATATTTCACACATTTAAAAGAAAGTGTTTCTTCAGAGTCTTGCACAATTATTTCCATATACCTCAGACTAAAATGACAACATATTCTTAAGTTATTTTTTTAGTATGAATTTACAGTGTTTTTATGGAAATTTTTGTTAAAATGTCATTAAGATAAATTTATTTGCACACTCTACGCTTTAACTATTTCCCCATTTGACACTATTGAAAGTTTTTATTCATATCTTATTTATTTTAGTCTGCTAACGAAACTGAAACATCTAAAGAATAAGTTATTTTGAATATGTTTACAAAATATACGCGAAATTTTTATTTAAGTGAAAACGTCTATATACTATTCGAGAATTAATTAATTATCCGAAAAGTTTATGTGCGCTGAATGCCGCGCGTCTATAAAATAAATCTTTAAAAAAAAAACAGCAGACATTCAGCCAGCGTGTGCGATAAACGCGCCAAAATTGGTAGCGCGTTCCCTCCCTCGCCAAGAGAGAAAAGTTGGTGATTCAGCCTGGTTTAGAGGAGCCTTAGGACCCTACTGGCCCTTTAAAAAAAAATTTATTAAAATATCTCGCGGGCGGAAAAGTAAAATCAGAAAAAAACGTCAATTTCACTTTAAACCTTTTCCTAACATATTCTTTACCATGCCCACAATACTTTTATTTTCATTTATCACAGCCATAACATCTTGTGAAAATTTCAATAATTTATCATATTTCATTTGTGTTATATCTAATCCTGTTATTCCATATTTTGCCCTCATCCCCCCCGGGTAAGAGTACATATCTCAACGAAATGTTCCGCATCTCCAATAAGATCACATTTGAGGCATCTATCGTTG